TGGAAAAATTTATCTCAACATTCTCATGCGTATATTTTTATTATTACAAAATGAGATCTCATCTAATCATACATCATTTGAAAGGGCGTCAGGAGTACTCAAACTTTATATAAATACCTTTGGTCTGAGATCACTCTTTGCTTGCGTATGTATTAATTTTTGTCAAGCCTCAAAACTTATGAAACACCCTGTATTTACATATTGTAATAATATTTTTTACATCAAGATATATAATTGAATATAGTGAAATGTTCGTTTTCAATATCTCATGATTATATTAGCTGCTACGAATAATATATATGTATACATACATATATAGACAATATGTTTGTTTTTTTTTATTTTCATCAGTTCATTCTTGTGGAAAAAATAGATGATGCAAATCCTGTTATCATTCTCTCGATTTCACAAAAATCTTGAATATCTCAAAGACGAAAAGAAAAGCGTTCATGCATCACTATTGTCTTCATCATCTTCCGAAGAGGCATTCGATTCATCATCCGAGATAGGATCTGTTAAATTAGGTTCGATATAGTTTTCAACAAACCGATCAGCAGCTCTAAATTGATTCTCAATTTTTTGCGTATGTGCAATTGCCTTGGAGGAAGCATTGCAATCATAACCAGCAATAAATTCAGCAGCAAGATCATGTACATCACTCATTCGAAAAAGTGTATTATGTTTGCGTACATAATCTTTCAGATTGGTCCAACATAATTCAATCGGATTCAGACAACAATGTTTAATTGGCAGACGAACAATTTCAACATTAAATTGTCTTGCAACTTGATCTATCTAAAATCAGCAATAATTAAACATAGCAAGTATGTGTTACTATTTTAGGTTTACTTTATAACGCTTTAAAGGACGATTAGCAAGTGCAAGCTCAAGAAGCTCTGCTTTTGAACACGAGTCGTCGAATGAAACGCTATGATCAAGTAACCAATTTTAAATTTTTTCCTTTGTCCAGGATCGTTGTGCTGGTTTAGATTCATCTTCAAGTTCACAATGCCAAGGAGCATTATCCACAATGATGCAGATACGTCTATATGGACCTGTACATAAATGTCAAGCGATATTAATGTTAGATGATCGAATATTATTAGATTCCTACCATTATCCTCTCGAAGACGAAATGCTGTTTTTTCAATCCAATTAAGAAAATATTCAGCATTAACGGAATGAAGTTTCGAGAATGAAAAAATATCAACAGATGGTAAATGAAAACCATTAATGCTCATAATTGCTGAGATGGCGATGCGATTCCCTATAACAATATATTTTGTCTCTCATTATGTGGTTTGAATAAGATCATACCTTTTCCATCTGTCTTCCGAATTCTTCCTCGCCCCTCACTGTCAACCCAAATAGATTGTTTTTCCTCACCAATGTTTAACCAACTTTCGTCGTGATAAAAAATAAGCGAATCTGCCGCTCTTAATTCATCGATTTTCCGATAATATATTGCACGCTGAGCAACAAACGAAACATGATCAAGTGGAATTTTTATATTTTTCGTCGATTTGTAACTAAATCCAATTCGATAAAGATTTCGGCGCAGAGTTGTTTTAGATCGAATAGGAAAATCATGGTGTGCAGCGTGTAATCTCTGAAGAAGGTTGGTTGTTGTTGGATAAATTTTTTCACTTAATAATAATTGGAATTGATATCTAATTTCACTATCAGCTTCTTCAGATAAGCGCACAGGTACTCGACCCGGTCTTTGTTTTGGAGATTGGGGCTCTGGAGCTGCATCTCTTATCAGTGCTAATCCCGAAGAAGAAGATCGTGCTTTTCGTCTTGATCGCCGTCCGGCTTTTGAGAGTGAACGAAGGCGGTGTGGTTGAATTTCTTCCTTAGCAACTTGTGATGTTCTCATTTCCTTTTTCAAGCGTAGCAAGGAAGCTTCTGAAATTCCTAGCATAGCTACAAGTCGAGCATTACAATTGTTAAGAGGAATCTGTGCTCCATGTTTTTCATTTTCAACAAATGTAATAACACGAAAAAAAGCTTTCTTTAGTTCCAACGAGATATAAGTGCCTTGTGGCATTGTATGGAATAAGTGCAGCGAATCAAACAATACTGAATTAAGTAAATGGTACTATATGGGAAGAAATATAATTGTAATGTGGTCCTCTGCAACAATTCGCTATTCACGACAACCAATAAATCAGACATATGAACCTCCGTTCGCATTAAATACACATACGTCACTTCCAACACACTTTCTTGTGCCTTCTACACTCGACTGAACACAATTTATATCAAAGATTTAATGAAAATAAAAACAAACATATGTCTATATATGTATGTATACATATATATTATTCGTAGCAGCTAATATAATCATGAGATATTGAAGACGAACATTTCACTATATTCAATTATATATCTTGATGTAAAAAATATTATTACAATATGTAAATAAGTATCCAACTTCTGTATATAGAAAATCTAGAAAGATCCCTACAATTCAAGAGTTACCTTTTTCCTTCTGATATTCTGTATTATTCATGTTCAGTTTTCGGATGAAATTTCTTAAAGCAGATTTATGAACCTCAATAAATACGACCATTCATCGAGTAAGTGCTCGCATTAGTTGAGTATGTCATTGTCGAATATAGCCTTGTTGACTATATGATAATGATTTTTTTTCCAATCAGAACAATATTGCTCATTATAGTGTATGAGAAGCTTTATGTAGATTAATTAACTTAATGAAACAAGCAAGTAACCATTTGAGTTTAATATAGAAGTATAGATTGGACCTTGCTCTATCTAATGGGAATGTCAAAATCAAAAATTCATCCTATTTGGGTACCGTTTCTCGGTATCGTTCGGAAAGATTGTTGAAAATGATTTCGCCCTACATAATATTATAGTAAAAGACGTGCCCCAGTCTCCTCTTTCGATTACTGAAAACCGCAGGTCGCTAGCTATTGTGGTTGTCAAGTTATTCGATTTATACTCACCCCTCTTTCATTCTGGAGCGGACATTAATCACAGAACCACAACCTGTCTCAGATATGAGTTTCTGTTTTTAACGGCCTTTGAATAACACGAAATGGCTTTATTCCTTCCCTATCACGATATTTGGCAATTGTTTTTGGAACAATGTATTCCTTGTGTCTTTCTGCAATTTATTTCACCATAATAGAAATACTTTTCCTTTTTTTCACATTTTCGCTGAAAATTAGGTTTCTACTTGCATCTGATAGTTTAAGTTTACGACCACATCCGGGATAATCAGTATAACAGTTATCATATGAATTTTTTCCTCATTCTGTAACAAATCCCTTAAGACGATGAACTTTGTCTGAAATATCATTGTCGACGAATAAATGTTGCACCGGCATCCCGAACCTCACGAAAAGCAATACATTTTATTCTGGCGATAATTCTTTGCTGTTCTACATCATAAGTATCAGCCATTTTCAGCCAACTAAGTTAAATGGCTGAACAAAAAGAATCAATTATTTTTGTTTGTGAGATTTATAAACCGCGAAACAATCTTATATAGAGTTTCACACGTGCTTAAAAGTTTCGCTCTAGACAGAAACAAAGTAAAAAAGAACGCACTTCGATAATTGAAATCAAACGCTGATGCGGAATGGAAAAGCGGCTTGCAATAAATAAAAATGAATACTGCTTTATATTTTCTATTGCTCAGGGGTTATGCAGTCATTCGTAGTCAAAAGAAGAAGATAAAAAGACAGTAGAACAAAAATGAATAATATTCTTTTGTGAACTGGATCATGTTGAATAATTAACAAAACGATACTTCTATTCATTTTTGTGAAAAAAAGTATCCTTCTTGTGTAATGACTCATTATTGA